GGCCGGCCCCCACCATTTCTTTAAATTTAGCTTTTGGTAAAGTTTGTTCAACAAGGAAACTATATGACTTAGTATACCATTCTACCATAAAAGGGTACTCCAATTCTATGGTAAAAACAAGATCAACTTTGATAGCATAGTATTTTTTCCTTTAGTTGCAAAAATTTTTTTTGACATTCATCTGTAACCAGTTTACTGTTGTCAATAATGTTATGACATGTTAGGCATCTTTTCCCTTTGTAGGAAAATCTACTTCATGTCATATCAGTCTGTGATTATCTGAAGTTTTGCAGTCCATCTTTTGATAAAACCACAGATGATTTCTTTTACTCTTATAGGGTTCTTAATGCACACTGAACTCATCTGGAATTTTGCATCAGTTTTACATGTATACTCTTTTTCTTGGTTATCCAATTTTCCTTAGGGCATTCTGAGTTCTTCTGTCCTTAATTTTGTCCTAGAACAACAGCATAGGTGACAAGCAGTGTCCAGAGATGCAGGGCTTAGACACAGGTCTCTCAATGATCCTGGTGTTTTGCTCCGTTTTTCTCTTCAGGGTGAATATGTACTGGGTCAGCACCACCCCTTCCACCGGAAAACATACTGGCACTCGCTACCATGTCCACCATTGCCACGACCACCTCCTCCATAGATGGGACCCTCATGCTCTTCCTGACCATGAGAAGACGACACTCATGAGCTTTGGTAGTGCAGGGCTTGTGTTCTAGCCATGGAGAAACCCATGAAGCCCCCAGAAATTGTCTTTTTAATTGAAGATGGATTTTTAAATCAGAGGAATAAATCTTTAATTTGAGACTGACCTAATCAGGAATGATGTAACCGAATGGGAGGAGAACAGTGTTTTAGAGAAGAGGAAAATGAAATGAGATGGGATCTGAGACAGAGAAGATTTTAGAATTTGAGGACAAGAATGATGAGTTTAGAGAATGGGTGTCCCAGCCAACAGGGGACAGAGGGAAGGCAGATTATTAGTGGGTTTATTTCACCAGAAATCCATCCATTATCACTCCTTTCCTGCTTTGAACATTTCATAAATCCATTGAAATAAACACACTGGAAGAAAAAGAATCCCACTACCAATGCCTCTCACCAGTCTTGCCAAATGCATCATCTAATATTGGATGTCACATTACAGTCCAATCCAACGTGTAGAAACGTGTTTCAAAAACAGCTTGGGAGTGAGCAATCAATATTAACTTGTTGGACCCTAATGTGTTTTTGTGAATGATTACAAATAGAGCAACTCCTTGCAGGGAATTTTTTCTCTAAGGTTATGGATAAAAAATGGCAACTAGTTAAGATCTTCCTACTTTTGCATAAGTAAGAATGTGGGTTTTCATTGCCAGGAAAAAAAGCATTTGTTGGGTTTTAGAGTCCCTTCCTAGATTTCACAATTTCTAAGGCTATTTTTGTGGTAAGAATGATAAAGAGATATCTGAGGATAAACGAAGTTTTCAAGTGGGAAAGGACAGAAAATACCAAGGATTACAATAGCTTATTTCATTATGAAATCTACTAAAAAGACCAAGAATATACTTGTGTAAATTATAAAGCACTTTCAAGCAAGACTCTTTCGGTTTTTCAGTTTCTGGGGCAGAAAGTATCTGGGTAGGCTCTAACGCTTCACATAATATTGTGATAAATTAAAAAAAAAAAAGCAAACAAACAAAAAGTTAAAAAATTTCAATTAAGCAGATCATTGCTTTTCACTGTGTGTGTGTACATGTGTGTATGTGTGTGTTTTCTTCTTTATCCTTGACCATATGTACACATATCCTTTCAAGCATTCAACAAATATTTGCTGAGCACCTACTGAATGCCTGCTACTGTTACAGACATTAGGATACCTCAGTGAACAGACAGGAAAAGATTTAGGTCCCTGTTCTTGTGCATCTTACATTCTAGTATAATTTCAATGAACAATCAAATAAATAAAATAAACAAAGGAAAACATCAGACCCTAAGTGTTATGCTGAGAGTTAAAATATAGGATAATTCATATATAATCATAGCATAGATTTAAATTGGAGTTCAGCTTTTTCCTTTAACATTGTCCAATAAACTTTCATTCCCATTGCTGCATAATTTTTCTCCTATAACCAGAAAGTATTAATTCATTTAGCTATTCAATAATATTCATTGAGCACTAACTATATGCCAGACATTATCTTAGGCACTGGGAATACAAGTAAACAAAAAAGATTTCGTGGAACTTGTATTATAGCATCAAGAATAAAGGATGACAAACTAGCGTAGGTTAAGTAGAGTTTCAGCATAGTTTATTACAAACAATGTTATGTTAACACCATATAGGATAAATGTTAATCTATTAAGTACAGCCTTTCATCTCCAGTCTAACTAATGTTTTTATTCTCAATTTGTATCTGACTGGTAAAAATTTTCCAGCTTGTACCCTCATCTATATAATAAGATGTACCAGCTAGCTTAGTACATTATGGCTATTGTTTTGATTGCCATCATAATATTTCACTGAGTTATTATCTCATCCTATTCCACATTCTCTTATTATTGGACATGTTTTTGCTTAACACCCCTCACTGTCACTCATACACACAGATTTTTGGGTTGTCATAAATAACATTATAAATGTCTTTTCCATCTCCCATTCCTTGTATTCCCATTCAAAAGCAAATGCTGTTTTGAATATTACATTTATTATTCACTTACTTATACAATTTTAAAACTTTTATCACATATTATGTCTAAGCCATATGGTATTTGGTCATACTTGTTTTTAAATTTTATTAAAAAAATATCATGCCACACATTGTCATCTGGCATTTAGTTTTTTGACTCAACACAACGTTGTTAAGATTCATTCACATTGTTGTATGCAGCTGTCACTCCCTCATTTTTCATTGCTCTGTAATAGTTCATTATATGACTATACTACAATTTATTTATCTATTCTCCCTATACTACAATTTATTTATCTATTCTCCCTAGTATGGCTAGTTAGATTATTTACAGTTTTTGCTATTATGTATAGTGATTTTGCCCCAACAGATGTTTACATATCTCCTGGATACATGTCCTAATTTGTGTGTGTGTGTGTGTTGCATGGGGCGGTATATACCTAGGAGTAGAATTGCTGGGTTGCAGGAGACGAAAATGTTAAATTTTAAAACACAGTGCCAAAGTGGTGGAAAGTGATGGTGCCGATTTATACTCTCACCAGAAACATATAAGAACTCACATCAATCTACATCCTGTATAACATTTGGCAATTCCAGACTTCTTGATTTTTGCCAGTTGATCATGTGTAAAATGCTTATCTGATTCTAGGCTTCGTTTGCATTTCCTGATTGCTAGAGAGGCTGGGCATCTCTTTGAATGGTTTTTAGCCCCTTGTGTTTCATGTTTTGTGATGTGCTCATTTGTTCATTTTCTGATGCTTTTTGTCTTTTTCTAAATTGATTTGTAGGCATTCTTCATACAGTCTTCATATAAAGTTTTGATCCTTTGTCAACTATAAGTTCTTGATCCTTTTTGCAATTACATGTGTGGCAAATATCTTCTGGATTATATCTTGCCTTTTTTACTTTCTTTAAGGTGCCTTTTGATGAAAAGAATTTTCTTGATTTTATTGTATTCTATTTTTGCAAACTTTTTTATGGTTAGTGCTTTATGTCTCTTCTTTAAGCTCTTCCCTACCCGAAAGCCAGGAAGAAATTCATCTTTATTTTATTACATATTTTAATGTTTTGCTTTTGACACAAAAAAATCTCAAACTATATGGAGTTTATTTTTGTGTAATGTGTGTGGTAGGGTTACATTTTAATGCTTTTCTTCTTATAAATAATCAATGTTTCTAAGTCCACTTGCTGAACAGTCTCTTCTTTTCACAATAATCTGCCAAGCCACCTTTGACATACATCCAGGTTCCCCTCATTTGTGGATCTCTGTGTGTGCTCTCTCTTCTGATACCAAGAACTTGTCAGTTCTTGTAGTTGGGCACTGAGTTCACAGGTGTCTATTATATTATTAATATATTTCTTAAAAGACACATATTAAATTGTATTATAGAGGGTCATTCACAGACTAATGATGAAAGTGTGTTGTGAATTAAAGATTATGACTAATCCAAATGTGTGAAGGTCCATAAAAGAGAGAAAATCAATAAATAATGCTGCAAAGAACAATATTACATGTTCCTTTTCTCTATTTCCTAAGGACAAGTTCCCAGCCGTAAGATGACGGAGCCAGTGGGTTTAAGACTTTTAGATGTTTTTGATGTACAACTTAAATGCTTTCCAAAAGGGATGCACACATTTACTCTTGGTGGCGAAGGGCCTTGAGGTTAAGTTCAGAGTTCTGCACCTGTGGCATCCGGAGTCTTCTCTTTTCTGTGCTTCAGCCACATCCCTTGCCACTTCCCACCACACTGACCTTGTCTCACACCACTATGAGGCAGCATATTTCCTCATCAGACCCTGGCAAGACCTGTTCAAGCAGCATCAGCAGACACTGCTGCTAGTTGGCCAGATTAAGACTAACAAACCATTTCTGTGCCTCACACTGGGCTCCCTCTTTTCATTTTTATTAGTGTTTTCCATATTCTCGCTAGTTCATCTTTCCTCAGATACATTCATAGTTCCCTCTTTCATCTATATTAGTTATATCTTTACTCAGATGTCACCTTCCTCAGGAAGGCCTTTCAAGACCACCCTATCTAACATGGCGACCCACCCTCACTCTTGATTATCACTGTCTCCCTTCATTGCTTTATTTTTTCTATGACTGTTACTTATCACCATTTGTCTGACTCTCTTCCACCAGAATTTGGAACTTAGATCTGTTTTGTTCACAGATTTATCTCCAGCAACTATAACAATGCTTTCAACATGGTAGATGCTTTGTAAGCATTTGTTAATATGATTATGAACAAAGTGCATAGTAGTTGTACAATAGATGCACTGGATGACTGAATGAGGCCCGGAGGACTCCAAGGTTCTCACAGTTATACTTACGGTTTTTCGGGTCTTTCTCACTGGAGGTCCAGGAGTAGTTGAAGCTTTGGGTAGTCACATTGGAATTGCTGGCTGAAAGACAAATTTTCACAATCCAACCTTTCTAAAAAGCCATAATTTAGCTTTACCTTGATGTGCTGAATTTCTAGTCTATGTGGCTTCAGGGAAATGTGAAATTTAAAATATGCTTCCCTATGCAGGAACGCTAGCTGGTATACTAAGCAAAAGCTCTTATGTTTCATGCCAACTTGTCACTGATTTGCTTTCTTTTTCTGTTTTGTCACCAACTCAGATCACTGGGAGTATTGTCAAGATTACTTTAATATTAGCTTAAAATCCCACGACAAATGAAAGATAGAGTATAATAACAAGTCACCAACCCTTATTTTTAAGATTACAGTGTTTGTCACATCAATATATAGTCACCAGATTACAAATTGCCGCAGAGTAACTCAAAACCAAAATATCACCATCAAAATGAAAAAAATATAGCCTTTTGCCCAAACCTCAACATTATCGTAGCTGTAGTAAAACCTGTGAGTGTGTTGTCTCTTTGGAGTTGTATGAGGACAGCCTTGCCATACTCACCTTGTGGGCTGGTGTTTGGAGCCGACGAACTCTCATCTACAAGGGCTATTGAAGACGTAGCTGGATATCCTATTTTGAAAACAAAATTCTCAAATTTTTTAGGTATTTACATTCACACGTTTAACTACGCCACCACAATTAACAAGGGTGGCATGCAGAGGATGGAATATTAGAGTTGGAAAGATTATTGGTGAATACATAGTCTAATGCCTTCATCTTATAAATTATGAAACGGAGTCCAAAAGTACATGCCTGATATTCAACATCATTTATTTGATATTAACCCAGTTCTCCTAACTCCAAGTGTATTATAGTCATATTTTCAAAATATATTGTTTTAATGTCTACTGCATGCCAGACTCCATTCTACATGAAATGAACAGTGAAGACAACGTTCTCACCCTCACGGAACTTATCTTATAGTGAATTTTCACAATTGTCTATAATACTTGCACACTCTATATATGGTTTCATATTTTACTCAATTTTTAGCTTTCAAAATCACCTCCATCTTTATAATCCATCATTTCCCATTCTCTTCTTTCTTCTCTCCCCCCCCTCAAATGAAAGACTAGTTCATGTTCATTAGAAAATATCTCTGGGGATGAAGCAAGGTAGATTGAAGAATAAAAATATCCAACCACAGTCCACTGAAAACATGCTTATGTCTCTTGGGAAAACAAATTTTTAATATATTTTATTTATGTGTATTTCCCCTTTGTTCCAAAAATATATTTAAGGTGGCTTACATAAATATGCAATGCAAGATGATAAAAACAATGGATAGAAAGGAATAATAAGGGCAAGAAAAATATAATTAGAAAAAGTATGTTGAGTCCTATTGAAATTGAGTGGGGATAGTACACAAAATGCTTTTTTGATGTCGTGTACTCTTAGTAGATGTGGACCCAACATTTGGTCAGAACTTTCTAGTAACAATGCAAAGAAATAAAGAGTATATGTTATGCCATTGATGGCCATCACAGGATAAAAACAGTCAATTGCCAAGAGAAACACAGCTATTATTTTCATTGTGATTAAAAAGAAATTTCTCCCCAATATTTATAAAAAGCATACTGTATAATATGTACAATATTCTCAACAATATCTTTATAGTATGACATCTAATATGCTCATTCACCCTCAAGCTTTAGGAGTGAATGATGTCCCAGCTTCCCAGGTACCTCAGTTTTGGGAAAGAGCGTGCCTCAATAGAAAACACGAGTAACCAAACCTCTGAAATATATATATATAGGATAAATAAATAAATTGGCACTGTGATTTATGCATCTTTAAGTAGTTCTGTGGTGTAAGCCCTGACGGTTGTTTTTTTTAAATTTTTGGTAATGCAAGTGCCTGATTTAAGCTTTGATTGTCACGGCATCCACTTCAAAGAGGCATCCACTTCAACGATGGCTGTCTCAAATAAACACATTGCCAGGCACAGGACTGGATAAAGAACCAGGCTGCCTCCCTGCACTGAGGCTCCTTTGTTGTAGAGATCTTGGTTGATTTCAGTAACTGACCATTTGGAACACTTTCCTTTTTTCTCTCCTCGTACTTTTAATTCCTGCTCTTATGCTTTAAATTCACCAACAAAGAGTGAGACTGCGAAACTCTAAGCGCCCACCCTCAACCCCAATAAAAGCAGAAACAGGCCTGCACACGCTCTCTCTCTACCCGTGACCTTGCTGTGTGGCCCCAGGTGTGCTGTAATTTCCAGGTCCTGTAAGTAATAAAACTTTATTTTTTCAAAGTTTCCTAATGGCTATTGTTGAAGGGCATCTTGCAATCATAATAAAAATCACAAGGGCCAGCTCAACCACAGCATTGGTGATTGATAGGCTGAGACGGGCACAAAACAAGTTCACATTCAGAGATGATCAACAACAATTGTTTTGCAGTGAAGCCTACCAACGGACACCAAAGACATACCACACCCAGCTCCATGAATATAGTCAGATAGGGGGAGATGTGTTAGTGGCTGCCTCATATGATGCCGTCAGGAACTAAAATGGGCAGCCAGCATCAGGATGGGCAGAAAAAATGTTTTAAAGACAGGATATGCACAGCTTCATTTACACAATAAATACTTACTGAACACTCCGTGTGTACTAGAATTGCGGATGAAGTGAAGAGAAAGAGAAATTTCGACCTGCCCTCGTGGATTATACAGTTTAATGACAATAAAGGTCAGTGTGGCAGACTACTGGCTGATGACTCAATCCAGTCCTCTTCTTTCTGACCCAAACTATTTCTTAACCTCCTATGAAGTTAGGTATATGGCCACGTACTGAGTCCCAGTGAACGGAATGTGAGTGGGAGTGATTTCATTTCATTTCATTTAAAGGCCTGGCCTGTACAACCTCTCATGTATGATCCTCCATGATAGTGTGTACTATCCAGATATTATGATGCAGGGCGACTTAGAAGTCACAACTTAAAGGTGACAGAACTACCACCAGCCGGGGTCCTTGAATGACTGTGGAACAGAGCACCCAGCCACTGGCTTGGCCTCTCATTGGCTCTTTATGTAAGGATAAATGAACTCATACTATGTCAAGCATATATGACCAAAGTGAAATTTTGGAGTTTGTTGTTACTGCAGTTAGTTTCCCTTCCCTTAAAAACAGTAAAAACATAACTGCAGTACCAGATGCTAAGTGCTACACAGTGGACTGTAGGATTCTAGAGGAGGGAGATATAACCAAGACATGGGAGCTCAGGGAAGGCTTTCCAGAGGAAGCGACACAACAACTAGGCCTGAAGGATGATAGGAATTAGTAAGACAAGGTTGGAGTGGGAGGAAGGAAGAGGGGGAGCAAGGAGAAGAGTGCTCCAAGCAGTGTGAACAGAAAAGGTGCGAGAGGATAGAAGTCCGTTTAGAATGTTGGGTACTCGGTGCAAAGCAAAGGGATGAGGATGGAGAAGTAAGAAGGAGCCATATCCCAAAGACCGCATGGAGGAAATGACGTTCCACTGGTCCTTACAGGACGTGACAACACAGGGGTAGGTCAGTGGTGGCCCGGACTATACAGTGGAGGCTGTGGGACGAAAAGAAGTGGACAGGTTGAAAATGTGGACTTAACAGGGCTTGGTGAATGATCAGATGTAGGAAATAAGGAAGAAAGAGAAGTCAAAATAACTCCTAGTTTTCTGCTTGGGCAGCTTTTTGGATCATAGTATCGTTAACTGAGAAAATAAACAGAGAAGCAGTTTTGAAAGTGGTCAGAGGCACGAAGATGATTTAAATTCTGGATAGATTGATTCTGAGTGCACATGAGACATTCAATTCCAGCAGAGGGTTGACCATGTGAGTTTGAATTTTAGGAGTGAAACTGGCTGCAAAAACATATTTGTGAGACATGAGCATGTAGACAACGATTGGAGTAAGTGAGAGTACCAAGGAGGGTGGGTCCAGGGAGAAGAGAAGTGGATCTAGAAAGGGACAATGAGGAGTTCTTCCATATAAGAGACTGGCAGAAGTAAAGGAGATTGAAAAGGAGGAGCCAGAGAGGCAGGAAGAAAGCCAGGGACGTATGGTGTTAGAGGATCCAAGGCGACTGAGGGTTTCCAGAAGCAGAGCAAGTCAGTCCAATTCAGCAAACATTTGTTGGTGAACACTGTGTGCCAGATGCTGGGTCAGTGAAGTCAAATGCTGCCAAGAAGACAGATTTCCATATAGCTGTTGACTGCTAGGAAGCCATTGCATTAGACTCATCAACCTACATAAAGAGTCTAGGAGACGGATTTGCAAACGACTTGAAGATTTACAAAAGCAGTATAGATTAGCCATTAATGGCATAGATTCCAGAGCCAGACTCCTTGGGTTGAGTCTTGGCTTAGTTCTAAGTTACATGTAAGATCTTGGGAAAGTCAATTGACCTGTTTCTCTTCCTCAAATTCCTCACCTGTAAAATAACAGCACTTTTCTAGTGGGGTGATTGCAAAGATTGTGAGTCATACATACGAAGTGCTTAGAAGAGCGCCTGGCATAAGGTAAGTGATAGAAAGTAATCTTAGAAGCTATAAAATAGGTCAGTTCAGGTGTTGAAATACAAGCATATTCTAGCAACAGGCGATTTGCATCGCCCAACGAGTTCTACAATTGCCCCATTTCCTTTGGTCTTTCTAGAAGGAGGTTGATTGGAGGTAACCAATCCCTACTTCTCCAGGCTGGCCCAAATCAAGAACTACATTCCAAAATGCTCCACCAGAAAAGGGCTAATTGTCAGGAGTGAAGAGAGCGGCAGCTTGCTGAGGTATTAACTTTATGATGGGATAGTAATTTCTACTGGCAGAGTCATCTACAGTTCTCCTCTTTCACCTCCCTGAGCGACCAGTAGTTCAGATTCTTGCCCAGTAACTAACTTCTAACTCACTGCCTCCCACCACTCGTTAGAGACTCTAGTGATAGAAAAAAAATGCACAAAAAGACTCCCTAAAGAATGTGTGAAGCATTTGTAGATTAAGCCCAGATTGCCTCAAACTGAGTATTGGGATCACATTCCTGGTCATCCCAGCACTGCTCTTAGGCATTGAGCACTGGCATTTTCCCCCTGGCCCATCCTGGTGGGCAGTCTAAGCAGGGCTGCTGGGAGAAGTCAGCTAATTGTTCACTTGCTGTGAGAATGTTGCTGGGCTGTGCTCCACCACGCCCTCCACCACACAGGAAGTCTCTGCATCAAGAGCAGCTATGCTTCTCTTGGGCAACTGGTTCATCATAATTTTATGAACTTATGGATCACAGAGGGAATATGAATTTTATTTTTTTCCTTGAAATGGCTTTATCTTTGTCCCTACCTGCAGCAATTTCTTCAGTTACCTATTTTTAAATTTTTTGTATTGTTATGTATTTTTTAAGTTACCTCACATTCTTTTCGAAACAAAGCAAGGTAAAAAAAAAATACATAGAAGAAAACAAAAGACTAGCCATCTCATAGTTCTGTGAGATGCTATGAGATATGATGTGCTCTTTCTAATGAATAGAAGAAGAAAAGCTGAAGGAAGAAGCGAGAAGGGGAGGGGAAAAAGAAGAAAGATTCTATCCATGTTTTAAATGACTCTCA